CAGCTGCAGGACCACCTTTTAAGCCTCTTTAGCTAAAGCAGTCATATATCCAAGCCCAAAGTCAAGGGAAGGAGAAGTCTAGCAACCAGGGGCTTTTGGTAAAGATGTGAAAGTTTACTGCTACTACATAGGAATAAAGAATTGGGATCCCTCCTGCAGTTTACTGTGTACATGTGCAAGAGTTTGATTGTTGAATGTGGGACTTAATACTTTTCTAAATTTGTATGTGTTATGAGTCTGTTCTGAGATGATATCCTGTATAGTATCATGGCCTACTAATATTTCGTAGCAGGATAGTCTTTGGTCTTTCCAAAAAACTATATAGGAAAATGAACTTTACAGAAGACCTCGCTTGACTTTTAGAGGATCTGTTTGTTAATCTAATCACTCTTCTGATAGCTTTGAGCTACAAACATCTCAAAATTCATTCCAGCCAGGTCTTGTAATTTCCTTGTTGCTTGTAGAAATATAGAACTCATATCTCTAGAAAATGGCAAGGTGTTTAAGAGTTTTAAAGGCAGTTATAAAATTTGACTTTTAAATACTACAATAAATTGAAAATATATTATGCACAAACGTTCAAATAATGATGTGCTAGACTCAACTTGTGGTAATGGAGTAAAAGTTACCCCATAAGAAATAGAAAGAATTTAAAGGTAAAAAGAGGCAAGACAGATTTCGGTGGCCCAACTCCACATTTCTTTGAGGACATCACAAAACAACAGAGGCAGCTTTTTCCATTCTGAAGTACCCTGCCTAGTCCTCTGTACATGAAAAAGCCTAAAAAATTAGTGTACTGTTGCTTCTTTAATATCACTGGCAGCTTGAGAATCTGCCTCTTTTTAATCTAGACAAAATTTGATTATGATTTTTTCACTTGTTCCATCAGGATAAAGGAAAGTTAAATTAACTTGCAACTACAATTTCATCCTAATTGTAAATCGGTGGTATATGCTTTTAAAAAACTTCTCCTAAACCACTAGACAAATCTAAACTATTGTCTGTGTGGCTTCTTTAGTAAGAGAATCCTAGTGCTGTAGTCTGTAAATAGACAACAAAATGTATGGGGACCCAGACCTTCTGTCTCTGTCTCTGTCTCTGTGTCTCTCAGTCTCTCAGGTTCTTTCTCCGTCCTGTTCCATCCTGTCTTTTCCCAAAACCCTACCCCCATGTCTCTCCTATACTTGAAATTGAGAACCCAGGGCCTGGCACATGCTAGGTAGATATTATCAGTGAGTCCCAAAATGAGTCTCTAATCCATTACAAATCAGAAGATGGGTCAGAAATGAGTTAAGGCTTTTTACATTTACACAGCACACAGTGTGAGCATAATTCGGTTTTTCCAGAGTAAGGGATGGCGTGGAAAGACAAGTCATTAATTAAATAAGCACGTGTGAGGATCTGACAGGATTTCTGCATCTGTTCCCTACCGTCCTTCTTTTTAAGTCCCCTGTCTGTGTTGTAAGACTTTGCTTTTTGTTCTAAATGTTCCTTCATGTCAATGTTGGGCAAAAGTGGAAAATGAGCATCTTGTCCTTTTGCACCCTTTTCCCCCCAGTTTCTGTCTGCTTTCCATTGAAAAGACAGAGTCCCTTGGATTTTCCTTCTCCCCTGGGAAGCCTTCTCGAAGGGCTCCCTCACCTAATACTATAAACCTTTCTCGTTTTTTCTTCAGTCTCTGAAAACACATCTTTACATCCTTTTTTCCCCCTGCAATCATGTTCTCCAATTAAATATAGAAAAAGTGACAATAACCTCTTTGATTTTATAATCGCATCTCATGCTTTTAGTAATGTTAAATGAATTGCTCCTGAAGAAATTATACTGTAGTACTTGGGCATAGTAAGAATGATAACAGTATTCAAGTTTTGGGGTACAGTGTCTTAATGAAGGCCTCTCAATGTGTACCTGTCTCTGTGACCTACTCTTTGCAGCCAACAGTGAAGGTAGTGACACAAGAACAAAGTAGGAGTGTTTGTTGTGATCCAAATCCTTCTAAGGAACTCCTACAGAAAAGTTCGGGAGTCAGGTTTTTACAGTTCCTTTTATAGCTAACAAATAGGCTCTGAGGGCATGTGTAAAGTACATATGTTTGCCCAGACCTTAAGATAGTGCTTCAACAGCAATTGTGACATCTCTATGGTTTGTATTGTCTTTCTCAGAGTAACAGTTTCAGGAGGAAGCCTTTGCTGGAGAGTTCTTGTAAGTATTCTATTGGCGGACATTTCCAGTGACTTTTTTCACATAATAGCATAAAAGTAATTTTATTGTTGCCAGTTTAAAAAAAAAAAGCAATCAGCATAAACTAAGCAGGCAGTATGTTTCTTGCTTTCATTATTTCCTGGTGCTGGGGATGAAATCCAGGATCTCTTATACGCTAATTACACACTCTGCTGCTGAATTACACCTCCATCCAAAAATGTGTATTTTTTACCATGTACTTTCCCATAATATGTATTGAAACCTGTAAAAAAATAAAAACAGAAAGGCCTAAATTATGTTGCTTACAATAATATTGTGAGGATACATTAGATTTTGAACAGGTAATAAAGTTTAATCTTTTTCTGTATCCATTAAGGAAACCCATGGTCTACTTTTAAAATTGTGGAAATTTTCTCAAATATATATCTGGAAATGTGTTAATCAAGGCTAGTATTTTATATAATATTCTGTAATCTGGTTCATGACTGTGTATATAGATATATACATAGATAATTATATATATAGATATATCTATATATAGATAGATATTTATATAATCACTCACATATACCTGTGTGTATATATGGTTTAGATGCTAAAATTCATCTCCCTTTCTAAGATACTGCTTCCTGGTATTTACTGAGGTAACAACTAACAAATTGAGAATAAGGATGGAGTCTGTTTTAGTATATTCATTTAGTATATAAAGTTTTAGTATATTCATTTGAGTGGAGAGACACTTCAATAGTAATATTAAACAAAAAAATACAGGCAGGGTAACAATAAACACCCCTTCTACCTCTCTCCGTTTATAATACATCCAGCATATCTCAAATCACTTAACCTTTGGTTTTAAAGCCAAAATAGAAAAGATGTAGTGTACAGCCCGTGAAGGTGGTCCCAATGATTCCTACCTACTAATATCCATACCCTGTGTCTTCCCCCTTCTTGAGTGCAGGCTGGTCTGGGTCATTTGCTGCCAAAGAATGAAAGAGAGCGGAGGTGACAGTGTCACCGCCAGGGTTACGGACTGCAGCTTCCATTTTGCCTGCTGTCGCTTACGCTGGGGAACACCAGCTGCCATGTTGGGAGAATGCCCACACGAGAGAGCTCTGATGTGGGTCTTCCCCTAGTTGAGCCTGGAAGTGAGAGCAGACTATGCTGATCCTTGGTTACAAACCTGCAGGAACCCTGAGTCAACCCATCTACTTCAGCCACACAGATTCCAGACTCACAGAAACTGTTTGATGATAAATGTTTCTTATTTTCAACTCTGAAGTTTTGGAGCGGTTTGTAACTAATACTGAAATTTCTATTTTAAATCTGGAAATCCATTGATTTAAAAAAAATGAAAATAATAGTTTGGTTTTAGCCGCATTGGATTGCCTCTGACTACCACACAATGTATGGAATCTTTCACATAATTTCTTTCAGATAAATTATCTTTCAGATAATTTCTGATGTGGATGCCTACATGTTTTGAATAAAAATCTTTTAACTTTCAGATAGAATTAGTTCAAACACGTATTTTTTTGTTCCCATTATTTAAATATTTTTCTCTTACTCTTTACATTGAAAAGCCTATTTTTCACCACGACTCCAGGGAGTTTTGACTTACACCCTATTTTTCTGAGGGTTCTCGTGTATGTATTAATCAACTCAGGGGCCCCTATGTTCATACACCTGATATGCACATTCAGGTTCCTTATAATCAGTCTCAGATTTGTTTGGAAGGAGCAGCTCCTGAATAGTGAGTAATAGGCAGCCCTTCAGATAAAAATTTATTGTTCCAGAGAAGTTTCAACTGAGGAATATTACGCTTAGGATTATCATCCACCTTTAAAATATCATTTGGAAGAAAAAACTGGCTTTACAGTTAAGAGCCCAGGATTTAGAGTAAAAATGCCAAAATTCAAATATCAGCTCTGCCAAGTACTAGATAAGTAATTTGGCAAGATTCTTCATCTCTCCAATCATTTATGAAAGAGGAATAACAATACTTTTCCATGGATTGTTGTGGATTAAGATAATGATGTTATGTGGCTGGCAAATAATAGCATTTTAACATATAATGATGAGGTATTTTTACTACCGCCCCTGCTGTCACAACCCTTAATGCTCATTAAAAGCAAAAAAAATCCCCTACTATAATTAGCAGTGCTTCAAGATACCCTACTCAAACTGAAATTCATACCATTTCCTCAAAAAGCAGCTTCTTTAATGACATTGCCATTTATTGAGATTGTATAGAAGTCTTAGGTGATCTGCTACCACCTAATTGTACCTCAGACCCAAGCATACATTGCCTTGGTGACAGTCCCACGCCATCAACTTTATACTGCTGCTGCCGTAAGAAATGGGACAAATTGAATGTGAGTCATTCAAGTCTCCAGAAGGTTGGCTACAGTATTTATTCTAAGATATTTAGGCTGAAAGATTCAGATTTCCTTTTTCACTTCTAATAGAATATTCTTTGTGATTATTTACTACCGTGTGTGAACTAGAGGGTTTCGGGCCATTTGTATCACAGTGGATCTCATGGTAGAGATTTGTAGAAGACTTCTGGCTTTGTACTCCCTGTGCTGAAAAGCTGGAATAATGGAAACCAATCCTAGGTTCTTCAGTGGCGATTTATGCTCATGTGTTTGTGGATAAGTAGTATGGACAACGAAAAGCCATCAGTTTATTACTCTCTTCTTGAATTTGTTCTTTTTATTTTAAGTAATAATTTTATTTGTTTTCAAAAACTCATTTACCAAGTAATATTGGTTTAATGCTAGGTTATGACTTATTTCTAGGTACTGGTGGTGAAGAGCAACCAGACACTCCACTTCCTTCATCGGGAAGAAATGTGGACAGTTACAGCCTCAGCCTCTCCTGGGACTGTTACGAGGATAAAATGAGATGATCCATGTGAGACTCTCAGATCTCTGTCTGCCAGTATGAGTGCTCAGTAGAGTAGCAGCTGTTTTAAGCACCCTCTTTGTAAAAGTACTGGGAGTTCCTGAAGAATGGTCTATCAAAGATCCCTTGATAATTTAAAAAATCAAATAACTTTCTAGCATTCCTCAAAATCTCAGGCAGTATGCTTCAGGAATTCAAATATGGACAAGAGGCCTCTAGACAATGGTAAATTGATATGCTAGCAATCATAGTGCAGGAAAGAACTAAATAGAATTTGTACTAAGACCTATGAGAAAGGAGAAGAATTTTTCTGGGGATAGTTGAGAAAAGATAATCACAGAGTCACTGACCTTAGAATTGGATCTGTAGCCCAGTAGACAGTAGGTTTTGGGCAGATGGAGAAGGGGAACAGAGACCCAGGTAGAGACAAGCTCCACTGGAAGTGGCGAGAGGGGAAGGGTATGAAGAAAACAGGCAGTGATAGAACTATGTGGTGCCAGGTTTTAAAGGACCTCTCTGCCATGGTGAGAAAGTGGAATTCGTTGAACTCATTAAGAGCATCTGAAAAGGGTGGTGCTGTGGCCACCGGTGGGTTTTATTAAAATAGTTTGGAAGCATCACTATGATAGTCTACAAGAAGGGAGATCAGGTTAGGAGAATGAGGACCCTTGAGGACATGGTAAGAGTTTGTGCACACTGGTGTGGAAAAGCAGGAACCGGCTGCTTGTCTGTGGGGCATGAGGCTTGGAGAGTAATGAGTGGCTGCCCAAGGTAAGGAGGCTGCTGGACCCCTCTGGGTGTCCGGGTGGGTGGAGACGCCGTCTTCACTCTTGCTGTCATATACTTCAGACTTGTGTGAGAGAAGGGAGATTTTAATTCTATAAACAAAGGAAAAAATTATAGCAGTTTTATTAGGAATGATTAATTGCAGTTCTAAGTCACAATAAATTATTTCTGTTCTTACCTAAGAATGTTGGCAAACTTAAAGTTGAAAGATGCCCTTTTTTTTTTAGCTTTAATTGAGTTTATTGGTACATTTTAGGGATACAGAACACTTACATTCATTGTTGGGATCTTGTACCTCTACATGACAGGTCTTGGTTCTCATTTTAAAGATGCCTTTTTTTCCCTGTGTAATTTACCCTTTTATAGGGGTATGGTACAAATCTTCAGAGACTGGAAACAAGTAATGAACTAAAAATCCAAACAATTTGAAATCTTGTATTATAGAGCAATCAAAATATATTAATTAGAGAGTGAGGAACTTTACAACCTATACTTAATTTCTAAGATAGCCATATGCTGAGAGGAATTATTTTTATTTATTTTTTTTTCAGCTTTAATTGAGTTTATTGGTACATTTTAGGGATACAGTACAGTTACATTCATTGTTGGGATCTTGTACCTCTACATGACAAGTCTTAATTCTCATTTTTTCCCCTTACCTCTGCCCTCCCTTCACCCCCTTGAGAGGAATTATTTTTAAATGTATTTCCTTTGTCCAGGATCTTTATCTATGTAAGCAAGATCTATCTATATAGTCACAGTAGATAAGAATACATGTACAGTTACACACATAAAGAATAGGTACACTTCATCTAATCTACCGTGGTAAGCTTCATTCCATGGTGATTAAAGAGGTCTTAGTAACACTTGCTTATTTAGTAACCACATATGATTCTTTGTTCCAGAGGGAAATTTGGTTATAAAAACAGCATGAAACAGATGATCTCACCCCGAATACTGCATAATATCTTCCAGATCCAAATTGTCTTCAGATAAACTCAGACCATGTTTGAAATACCAGATGTTCTTGCCCCCTTTTTCTTTAAAGTATCTGACATGCAATACCTTCTTCTGGGTCAGGAAGGTCACCTGAAATGTTGCCAACCTATCTGGTTGCTTGAAATTATGAAAATGGAGAAATTGATTCCATTCCCATTTCTTACTCTAAAATAAGCTGGGGCACAGAGAGTTTTGGGAAGCACAGATCATGGGAATATTCATTTTCTAGGGCCTGTAGTTAGGGATACTTTAAATGCCCTGTTTGTTTATGAATAGTATTTCAAGATAAATATTATGGAGTCATTTTTATTTTTTCAGAGGACCTTGATAATAGGTATTCACAACACTGACTGTGGTTTCTCCGAATATAGTCAATCCCACGGACCTGTTTTCTTAGGTACTGAAGAAGAAAAATTAATCTGTCATATCCTTGTATTGATGCTGGCCAGAATATGTTACTAAAATTACATGAGGTCGACAGCTTTGGGACTTGTGCGTTTATGAAAAACATGTGTTTTTAGGCACCTAGTGTTGACTGTGCAGGGAATATCATCTCATATTTTCTGGTGAAATGATTACATGCAGCAGCTGAATTATATCACTCACAATTTAAGATTTTAAAATTTCATATGTGCCTTTTATAGATTGCTCCTTCAAACTTAGTTTCAGATGATTCTGATTTAGAATATATTAACTTTCTCAAATAATCATTTTCTACCAAATGATTAAACTTTGATCAAGCTGAATGACAGACTAAAGTTTATCTTACATATGATATACAATAATTAGAGAATTAAAAAAATTTCTGAAGGCAATCTAATTTATTTTCTTCATTATCTAAATAAAGCCTGGGAAAGAAAAATGACTTCTAAAATCACTGAACTTGGCCATGACACTCTGGGATCAGCTGAGTTTCCCTGCCTCCCTTTTGATGATCATCCCACATTTTCAGCTTTCTGTTTTGTTGGTTCTCTAATAATTATAACCATATAATTTTTAATCAGCTCTTTAATATCCGATGTAGCTCATTCTCACAGCATAGCTGTTAAACACAAATACGCTTGTCTGGTGTGTTAGTCCAGTGGATTTCTTTCTTTGCCCCAGCTGAGGAAGAGCTACACTCTTGTTTTTTCTTGCTGTTCTCTGCCCTCTCCCACATATACCTACACAAATAGCACTTCCTCTATGCTTTTTCCTTACTGAAATTCTGGAGTGCAGATAACAGGGCAGGAAATGAAACAGGATTTGGATGTCTAGGAAATAGCTGTGGCCCTTGAGAGAAGGACCCTAACCACAGGGTGTGAGGGTAGAGAAAGGAGGAGATGTTCTGAGAAGAATTCTGAATCCTGGTCTTCAGGGAACCCTGAACACAAAGCAAAGGAGAAAGAGAGATTGGTGAGCCCTTAGGGCAGATGGAAGTCCACATCCTTGAACTTAGCTTTGGGGCACTGCAGGTCTTGTGATTTTTCCCTAAAAAGGTCTAGTGATTTTTCCCTAAAGAGGTCTAGGAGCAGGTCTTGAGAAGCTGCCAGTAATACTAAACTCATTTTATTATAGAAAGGATTTAATATGTTTTCCTACATCTGATACACGTTTGACTTGTTCAGGGGGAGAAGAGCAGCTGACGCAGTTTGGATGGGAATAACAAGAATTTTTTGCACACTCTTGCAAGTATGGCTGCTACTGGGCAACATTTTGATATATGTTGGATTTAGCAACTGCATTTTAGATTGTAACAGACTGGGAGCAGGCACATCCACTGAACAGGAAATAAAGTGAGAATTATGCTTTTTGTTGGAGATGCATTGTGGTTTTTTTTTTTTGTCCTAACAGGTTGACAAAGACATTAGAATATGGAAGAAGTTTTTTATCCAATAATGTGGCATAAGATAGGATATCTTTCTGTGTGTTTTCCATTAGTTTTGCTTCCCTCGGGCTATAGCAGGGTGGAGGGTTATTATGACTTCTTTCTATTCTCTTTAATCTTTGCCTGGGATATTTTCAAGGTCCCCTTATTCCTTTCTTCTGAACACCTTGGAGAAGATGGAATTGTGTCTTTTTAGAAATATGGAGAGGATCATTTTCTCCAGAAGATTACAGCCAGGCTGGAAAGATCTGCTATGGAGATCAATTTAGCTTTCAGGCAGGGCAGGGTGGAAGGATCCTGGAGCAGTGGTTTTTGAGCTTCAAGGCCACCTGCCAAGGCAGTTTCTCAGATTACTTACTGTTTTTCCTCACCCTTCCCAGTGTTGCCTGCTGTGGTGTAGTTTGTGGCTAGTCTCTGGGGCTTCCTTATCAGTCTTCTCCCAGCCCTGAGGATGTTTGTTAAACTCTGGAGATTTACTTTCTTCTTAGGGGTAGGGGGACCATAACACACCCTTAACCTCTCTCCCTGCCCCTTCTACCTCCTATTTTTGGATTTTGCCCTTGGTATTTATTCCCTCCTGGAATTCCCTTTCTTTTCCTCTTAGCTGCTAGATAATGCCCATCCTTTCAGTTTCAAGCATCCCTGTTTATTTAAGCTTTCCAACCTTCCTACCACATGTCTTCCCCCACCAAGCTTTTAGGAAGGCATCTATATTTAAAGCCAGACAACAAATTTTAGGTTATGTTCGTTCTAGCCTAATGCGGCCAGTGTAAGACCTAAAGTCTCACTTCCACTCCACGGAGTGTGAACAGCCAAAAGGCCTCCACGAAGCTGAGTCCTACAGCCCAATGATGGCTCCGGGAGCAAGACCCAGGGCCTTACTTCTGAAAGCCATAAACAGCAAAAGGTCCTCCACGATGCTGGGACCTATAGCTCAGCGAGGCTCCAGAGCTCCACGGAGGAACAAGAGTCACCCAGGAAGGAACACACCAGGCTAGATGGTAAACAGACCTTTATTAGTCTGGCCAGACGGCACTCCCAGAGCCAAGTAGCTCAGAGAGGCTCTAGCTCAGGGGCTGAGGTCCTTTTTATAACAGATATAAGGTCCTTTTTATAAGAGGGATAAGGGGGGGTTTAACATTCAAAGCCTGGAGTTAGGGGATAAAGGCTACTGGTCTGCTGATGGTCAGTAGCCACTTACTCAGCAATTGCTGATGATTAAAAGATGCTTTCTGTAAGGTATTTCACACAATCAAGCAGTAAAACAATTAACTTTGGGTCTCTGTATACAGCAAAGATCTTATCTCATTTTCCAGAACTCTTAAGCATTTGCCCATTAACTCACTGTTATTCACAGTTGGGGCTAAGAATTTAAGATCACAAAATTATGCAGTAAAGATTACACAAGGTTATACAGTCCTACATTCCTAAGCAAAGGTAGGGGTGCAACTACAAAGGGGAGTGGTACACAATGGCCTCTGGGGCCAGTACTCATCCAACATGGAATCACTGTAGCTCAGTCAGATCTTACAGCCAGGAGTAAATCACCTCTCCCCTCTGGATTTTAGTCTCCTGATCTGTCACATGAAGGGGATGTCTGGTCCTGTCCAGAGGAAGAATATGTGGAACAGTTTAAAAGGGCATATATTCGTGAAACACCAGTTCTAGTAATTCTAATAAATAAATGGCAACTATTATAAGGATATACAAAATCAACTAGGAAAAGCAACTTGGCACTTTGCAAGGCTGACTTCATTTTTCAGCAGTGAGTTACTCTAGGTAGGGCCTTAGTATAAAAACTCTGCTAATTCAGGGTTCTAAAGCTGAACTTTAAAGATGCAACTTTAAAGAAATAGAGAAAATGTGTGGTTCTAGTATGTTTTTGGTATTTTATTAAACCCAAATGTTGTTCACAAAAGGCAACCCAGAATCAAAGGCAGGGGAGAAGTTATATATGTAGTCATTTTATTTAGAGAAAAAATAGTTTAGTTCTTAAATGAGCCTCTGTCTCAGGATTTTACACACATATAACTATATGTGTATATGCAAGTACTATGTCATGGCATAAAATCATTCCTTATTGTGAAATTCATGTAACGTTTAAAAGCCACTGATTAAGCTAAGCTATGTGGCTATATGGTTAAGTCTCAATAAAGTAATCTTAATTTCCATTTGGGGTTAGAATTTAGCAGGTGATACACGGAACACAGTATAAAACAAATCCATACACCTGGCAAATTAAGGATTATTAACTTTCCTATAATGGAAAACTAGAATGAATTAAAAAACACACCCTTTCACATTTGCTCTTCATTTTCCTATGAATATCATACTGAGAAAAGTCAGTTACACTTCCTTGTAAAAGAACAAAACTCATCCAGTCTTCCTCTGTCTTTTAATTCACTCTATACTGTGAACGATAATCATCAGTGTCAAGGAAAAATTTGATTCTGGGTAGACAAGTTTAATACTGATTTCAGTACACAATTTACAGAAGTTCAACTCTTTTGAAAATTGGTAATCTAGACATGGAAAGGTGAGGAACTGTGGTTAATGCTGGACTGGTCTGTATACATTAGAGAGCATGCTTGTGATGGTCTGATGTAACAGTGTGAATTCTAAACAGCCTGATTGACCAGCTGGTTTGGAATATGCCATTACAGGAAAAGGATGTGGTCATTTTTGTTAAATAAAAAACAAGGGCTTCATTTAAACTTCAATGCTGATCTTTCAAGGAACAAGTTACAATATGGTTTTGGTTGCATAGTGATAAACAGCTTAGTAAGATTACAGGAGTCCATTGAAAAAGATTTGTCCAGATTGAATTACTACTCTCATGGTAATTAATTTGTCACAGCCACTGATGTGACATTGAAAATATGAAATAATATGGTCACTGGTGATTTGCTGATGTTCTAATACAAAGCCAGTTGATCTCCTTCATTTCTAAGTCGAGTTTACATTGCCCTTGTATGTCCTTTCTCTATCTGTACTCCCACCCCATCTGCCTATTAGGTCATGTTTCAGAGAGTTACCAAGGGTACTTATTTAATATGGTCAAGGAAAAAGAACACTTTAGCTTATAGTAAAGGTAATAGTACAGCCTTCCCATCCCTTACCTAAGTGTGAGAACACAGATCTTGTAGTCAGAAAGTCTTGGATTCATCTCCTCTCTACCACTTACTGACATTTTGATCTTAAGTGAGGTCTTTCATCTTTCTCAGTTTCAATTAAGTCATCTCTAAAAGCGAGAATACCATTTCCTACTTTATAAGCATTTTGTAAATTTTAAACTGTGCTAATGAGGAAATAAGTGATGTGCTATTTCTGGCATTCAATAAATGTTTGTGGTTGCTATCATATTTATCATAATGGAGGGATTATTATTTATATTTTAATTCCTAAAACCTTTCATACATTTCCTTGTTTGCTACAGAATATATCATTTAGGCCAGGCATGCTTACCAAGCTCTGCTCTCTGTGCTTTTAATAGCCAGGTCATATAGTGTTCAAAGACATAAATTCGTGACTTTTGGTGATATGCAGTATTTGTAGTCTACAGTTGTTTCTTGATGCTTTTCTTTTCATGATAAAAAGCAATAAGAATATAAAGGGTGTTGTGTATGCTCTTGGAGCTGCCATTTACTACTTGGGTGTCATCATTGGCTAAACAATGTACTACTCATAAAAGCTTTGTTTGAAAGTGAAATCAACAGGAAGGGTAAGTGGAATTGAAGGAGCAATTTATTGAATTTTTTAGGTTTCTAAAAACATAATAATAGATCTCTGTTTTCTCTTTAACAGATGGGCTTAGGTCATGAGCAAGGGTTTGGAGCCCCCTGTTTAAAATGCAAAGACAAATGTGAAGGATTTGAACTGCACTTCTGGAGGTAATGTTTTGAAAACTACCTTAGTAATTTACACTCTTTGGCAGTACTTATTTAGATGGGAAAATCTCTTATAAGTTCTCGGCATAGTTGCTAAGTTGTAGATCTGTTATTTTTTAAAAAATAAAGCTATCTGTCTTCCCATCGTAAAGTTCAGCTGAGCAAACAGGGCTATAACTATATTTAGAGTTGTTTGATTTATTTGTTACCTTTCGCCTTTCTTGTGAACCTCAAACATTGACTGTGTCTTTTCTAAGTGGCAAACAAGTTTGTGATAATCCTCCAGGATGGTTTATTGATTTAATTTTTTGGTTTTTTTCTTGGTACCAGAGGTCAAACTTGGGAGCTTGTGCTTACGAGGCGGGGGGTAGAACTCTGGCAAATTTAATTATTTTTAACAATTCCTACCTTTTTTTTTTTTGGTACCAGGGATGGAACTCAGGACCTTGTGCTTGCAAAGAGGCAGCAGCACCACTGAGGTAAATCCCTGGTGCCAACAATTTCTAACTTTTTATATCCTATATTTGTATTTGCAAGAAGTGATAAATATGAACACTCAATTGAGCATTCATATAGTAGTTATCAGGAAATAAATCTTTTCAGTATCTTCAAAATTTCAAAGAAGTAGATTTATTACTGAAAAACCTTCAAAGTACTTGATTTTTTTTGTTAAAAATAATTTATTGCCAGCATTTTTATTTTAGTGAAGTGCATGTACCTGTAGCTCAAAAACTTGAATTTTATATAGATCTTATTTGTATGTTTTTTATGCATCTAAAACCAGTATTTGAGGGGCCGGGGATTTAGGTCAGCGGTTCGGTGACCTGCCTTGCAAGCGCAAGGACCCAAGTTCAATCCCTGGTACCCCCCCAAAAAAAAACCCAGTATTTTAAATTTGTTCCTATGAAGACATAAATACAGCATCAGTAGCTGTGCAGACCACTGTGGTAGTTCACAAGTCTGCTCAGAGTTAGATCCAGAATATTATTATTAGGAGGAAAAAGATCAATGATATACTAGAATAGCAGTTATTTTTAACAGTGAACCTCATTTGACAACTACACCTGTTCTACAGGTTTCTACATAAAACTCTAGAATAATATACACAATTTCATCTGCATTGCAGCTTTTGTACAGTATAAGTTAAGGATATAAGAGAATGGATATTAGACTCCTTTGAAAGCTAATCTATTTAATAAGTCTCCAAAAAAATAAAGACAGGTCTGGTGATATAGTGGCAGAGTGCTTGCCTAGTCCGCGCAAGCCCTGAATTCAAACCCTGACATTGTAAAAAAAAGTACAAATAAAAAAAATAAAAAAGGACAAGTGTTACAAGAGTGAAGATATTCTGTCCAAGAATGATGCAGTTCTTCATTTTTAGAGAACTAGAATTTTCCATGGAGTTTTTTTCTTTCTTTTAATTACAGACATAAATAGCTCTTACTGTGCTGCCTTTTCAGGAGCATAGCAGTTAGGCAAAGTGCCTGTCATTTCTAAAAAGATGTCACTAAACACAAAATATTCCTCATGGTTCAGAATACATTTTCCTCTTAGTGTCCAGTACCTGCAGATCCCCCAAGTCCCTAGTTTCTTAAATCTCTTACATAAAATGGTATAGCATTTGTGCACAACCTACACACTCAGATCCATCTTTAGATTATATAATACAGTATAAATAGTCATACTGTATTGTTTAGGGAAGAATGACGGTTTTTAAAATTCATGCACGGTTAGTCCATAGGCCATCTTTTTTTCTGAATGTTTTCCATTTGCTGTTGACTGACTGTCTGGAGTAGAACCCACAATACAAAGGCTGACTGACTGAATTTCAACTTCCTGTGCGCACCACTTTCTCCTGACTCCTGTTGATTTTGCAGAGGGTTGCGGTGCCCTCTGCTGGGCATAGTTTTTAATTTTACAATCTTAAAATCTGTTTAGTTCAAGTGTGAAATTGTGGAAAACTGCTAAAGAGGTTTTTACATGTTCATTCCTAAGCGATAATCACCTTTCTCTAAAGCAGAAAGTTTGTTTATAGCATTTTGTTTGATCTGTATTATTTTTCTATTGCAGATCACTACAGTCAGATATTTTCAGATCAAATAAAAAAGTTAGGCAAGAGCAGATCTTCATGGCATGGACATCACCCTTTTATTTCAGTTCTATCACACAGACTTACCTAATGTAAACTAGGTCTAATCTGAGACACAGACTCACCTAATGTAAACTAGGTGTAGTAGCCGTAAAACACTAGGCTTTTGGCTTCCATCCTAGCTTATGTTGATGGAGCCTGCCCAGATGATATTTCTTAGTAGTTCTGTCCTCTTCCTGACGTAAGTCCAGACATATTTCTCTTGGTTATGAACTTTGATCAGTCCCTGGCTTTTTAGCGTTATTGCTAAAAGAACAGAGGCAGATACCTTTGAACTCCAGATGTAGCAGTACAGCCCTTAAAAGTACAATACTCTATGCTAATAAACTGTAAAATAAAAAGGCTGCAGCACCAGCCTAAGACCCCAGAGTGGGGTTGAACTGGACCTGGGGTCCCTGTCCATGCAGTCTCATGGTTCCATCCTCATGGTTCATTACCCTTGACTCCTTCCAGAGCTTCCTGGGCACATTTAGAAAGTCGGAGTTAAATTATTCTCCACTCCTTTACCACTCACCCTTCCTTATAACTATGATAATATTATGTTGAAAGAAAGTACTAAAATATACTACCTGATAGCTTAAGAACTCTCTGTTCACCCTTACTGCACAGGAAATAATACCAAACTCAACAAATGCGATCTTATCAAATTTAAAAACTTCTACACAGCAAAAGAAACAACCAGTAAACAACCTACAGAGTGGGGAAATAAATTTTGTCAGCTATCCCTCAGAAGACTAACTTCTAGAATATATATAGTTGTTGATGAGAATGTAGACTAGTACAACCACTATGGAAATCAGTATGGAGATTCATCAGAAAACTGAAACCAGAAATTCCATTTGACTCAGCTTTTATCCTTCTGGGTATCTTCTCAAAAGAATTAAAGACATCATATGACAGTGATACATGCATACCCATGCTTATAGTAACACAGTTCATAGTGTAAGTGCTAAATCTTGGAAGTAGCCTATATGTCACTCAGTAGATAAAGGAACTGTAGCATTTACATGGAAGGGAGTACTGCTATTCCATAAGGAAGGAAAACTTGAGTCATTTGTAGGACTGTCGTTGCACCTTGAGACTATAATGTTAAATAAAATGAGATGCAAAAGCTTCAGTGTTGCATGGTTTCTCTTGTATGAAAAACCCAAAATAAAAACAGCAAAATAAAAATTAGGCAATAGGAGATAGGGAGATAGATCATTTTCAGATGTGAAGGGGATTAGGAGATGGAGGGAGGAGAGTAGAAGGGGAGGAGAAAAGAATTGGAATGTGTTACCTGCACGGACCAGCTCCCCATACGGAATGTAACAGTATGTACTACAAACGTGTGCTAATAAAACGTTCTTTAGATCCACTAGGTCAAACAATAAAGAAGATGGTTTATTCTACACTTCACAAAATGTGCTCTGGTAACCCTGATCCTGAGAGATGGCTCATATAAAATGGGTTCCCAGTCAAATCTGTATCTGTTCAATTCTGGATAGGATAGCCTTTTGGAAATTAGGCTATCATGATAAAGACTGTAAGAAGTCCTGCAGTTAAAACATCTGTTATGTAGTATGACACTTCTAAACATCTGTTTTGTAGAACATAGGTTTGGGAACTTGGATTTAGGTATTTTCTTACCTGGATGCAGGGAATGAAACTAAAAATATCTTTCAGGAAAAACAAAACAAAACTGTCAGCTCCTCTGGACTTCATGCATCAGGCAGTCTTGGGCCTTTGATGGTAGACTTGAAGCATCTGGCTTCTGCTTACTTTTTCAGCCAGCCACAGTGTTCTCCACGACTTGATCTGTGGCATTCCCTGAAATCTCTGAGGCTTATTGCACGTGTCCTTTACTTGGAAAGACTTTTCCTTCCACTTACAAGAAACAAAAGATCCCACCTCTAGCAATACCTCTGTGGAATCTCTCTTGCCCGCTTTGCCCCTGTGTTAGTCTGCTTGGCCGGCCATAACAAAATACCATAGAGTTGGCAGCGCAAACACAATTTTATTTGCTCTTAACTTTAAAGACTGAAAGGTCCAAAATGATTTGGTTCTGGTGAGAATTCTCTTTCTGAGATGTACACAGCTTCCTCTCACTGTATACTTCAAAGCCTTTTGCACTTTAGCTAGACCAACTATATCTTTGGAGATTAATAAACTGAAACCCAAACAAATTAAAATGATTGTTTGTACCCATTTAAAGAGAAATATGATCTATGAGCAATTCCTGTGCATCCCATACCAATAAGCATTTATAGTAGTTTTCTACTGCTGTGTTCCAACTTATTACAAACTTAGCAGGTTAAAACAACATGTATTAATTGACTCAGTATTCACTTACCCTTAGAAATTTTGTGAGGGGAGGAAATGCCTACGTGGATCCTCTCCTTCAAATCTCAAAAGGCTCAAATCAACGTGTTGGCCAAGTTAGGCTTTTATCTAGGAGTTTGGAGGAAGAATCTGCTTCCAAGATTATTCCTGTTGTTACCAAAATTTAACTTTTATGTTTGGAGGACCAAGATCCCAGTTTTCTTCTTGGCTATCAGTGAGGAGTTGTCCTCAGTTTCTAGAATCCACTCAGATTCCTTACGTAGAGCCCCTTCCATCTCCAAAGCCAACAATAGGACCTAGAATCTCTTGTGTACTTCTACTCTCTCTGGGTTTTGCTGCTGCCAGCTAGAGAAAATTCATTGTTTCTTAAGGGCTCCAGTGATTATATTGAGCACATCTGAATAATCTTCTTATTCCCCATGTATAGTAACGTGGAAGTAATACCATGGGCAGAGGTCTTAGTGGACATCACAGAATTCTGCTGACCACAGCACTTTATGTCCCTGACTGTCCCTAATCCCCCTCATACCAA